GACCTCCAGCGTGCACTGGGGCGGTTTGCAGCCAAGTGTGAAGCGGCTGGGATGAGAATCAGCACCTCCAAGTCCGAGGCCATGGTTCTCAGTCGGAAAAGGGTGGCTTGTTCCCTTCAGGTTGGTGGAGAGTTCCTGCCTCAAGTGGAGGAGTTCAAGTATCTTGGGGTCTTGTTCACGAGTGAGGGAAGGATGGAACGGGAGATTGGCAGGCAGATCGGTGCAGCTTCTGTGATAATGTGGTCGATGTACCGGTCCATCGCTGTTTCATCCACAGTGGTGGCAGTGAACTTGTCTAAGAGCCTAGAGATGTATATAGTCATTTATCTTACCCATCATCCAAGAAGTAGCACTGCCAGGTGGTGGGGCTGTCCTCCACAGAGTGAACAGTCCTCTCCACCCCAAATACCTCCACAGCCTCACCGTCAACCTCCAGCTGCTTCAGACCCAGCTCACTCTGACCACACACAGATTAGTTCACTCTTCAGTTAACTCACTGACTGATCAAAAAGTGTTGCACAGACGTACAATTACTTACAAAGATGGTGTGGGTGATGTATAACCCCTGGTCGAAAGAGATGAAGGTCATGTGTTCTGGCACCATCTTCCTCAGAGCGATCAGACGCATCAACAGCAAGTTGGAACCCTCTGTTACTAGCCCTCTTAAAGCAGACATAGGATAAGAAACACTCTCCTTCATCACCTCCTGTACACACACAGTCAGAAAAATGGATTACACATTACTTGGTCTGTCGACATCTATGGATGGATATTGTAGTGGGTGTGAAGCATCATGAGGTGATTACAGTGAGAAAACTTCCACTCAGCAGGTATCATACTGAATATAAATATGAAAAAAAATCAATACATACTGTATGTAGAAAAATATAACACTGTAGAGGCAATTTGTCACTTCTTTACCCAGAAAAAGACTCAGTCATTATCATCATATCATATTACAATCAACAAAATCTTTGGCATACAGGTAAAAACAGTGTTGCTCTGTGTATTGAGGGTATAGGACCACCTGCTGTCTTGTGTGTAGCACACTAGAGCACCTCTCCTTTGCTGTGATGCCACCTGGCTTAGACACAGGCTGACCCCTGTTGCATCTGCCTGTGTGAAGGTGACACTGAAGGTTGCCCTGCCCTGACAGCTCCTAATGGGCCTCCTCCGCCTCACCTTCAGGATCAATCTCCAGCCTATTAGAGGCATGCCGCTGCTGAATATGATTGCATTCACTGGGCCTCACTAGTGCTAATGTGCCTCCATCAATCCATCAGAGCAGACTGACCGCGGGGCGGGCGATTATGAAGTGCCTTAGCTGACAGCAGCTGAATGAAGAACAGGGGATGCCTCCCCACCGCCGCCGCCACCACCACCACCCTACCTCCACCTCACCTCTGCTACTCTGCTGGGCTCCTCTTCTTACCTCTCCCTTGTGTCTTCATAGACTCATGAATGTCAGTGTTAGGGTGTGTCTGCGTGAAGGGGGGCACCTTCTGAGTCAGGAAAGTGAAACAAGCACAAAAGATGGTTCTGTTCAGAAGCTCATATTCATTAACCTTGGTATCTACATAGGAAAATATGTATGTATAGCTACATAGAAAATATCAAACATGCTAATTAATAATAGTGCTAGTGTTAATACAATAGTGTCCTTTGTTGGGAAAACCTTTGGCAGTTGCACACGCATTTTGCAACAAGGTGACATGAGCATGCCTTTCCACAGTGTGGAGGGTGCAGCTGTATCTGATAGAGCCTGTCCCTATCGTCAACAGGATCCATTTCATAGCTGTATGAAAGAAGAGGGAGGCAGAGCTTAACACACACACTCCCACACCATTCCTCAGTTCTGCCTGCCGCTTCCCTGAGCAGATCAGAAATGACACCTCATTTCCATAAAGGCATTAGGAATTCATTGGATTTTTTTCCCAGCTAATCATAGTGCGGGTGTAAAACCTTTTAGGCTTTTTAATGAATGATTTTTGACTGATTGCCTATTAATAAGGACACCTCTTGAACAGGCATAGGCTGGGGCACGGGTTGGGAGGTGCAGATGTGTTTGTTTTGGTGTGTGAATGTGTGTGTCACCCAGGCAAAAATGCATTGGCGAGGGAGGAGGGGTAGGGCCCCCTCGGTTGGGACATAAAGAGGAACTAGTGGCTCCCTTGGGAAATCACAGCTCATGTCTGCATCTTAAATATCCCTGTGAAGTATCAATAAGTGGGTAATTGAATTTTGAACACAAACATGAGCGTCAGGTGTATGTGTGGTGGGGTGTTGAATGTGTGTGTCTCCAACTGTTTCTGTTTGTGTTTCATCTTTTCTGTCTGTCCCTTGTCTCCAGGGAGGAGGGTGGTGAAAGTGGATTTTAAATCCGTTAAATAAAGCTTACAGCCCACAGTAGTTGAGCAGCACTGTGAGATGGCCAGTAAGGGTCAGATAAGTCCTCCTAACTCTTAATGAAAGTGATTTGGGCCAGTCAGGGCCAGGGTCCAGGACTCCATTTAACCTAGGTGGTCGTCTGTCTTTGGAGCTAACAGGGGTCCAAAAGCTCACTGGGAGCGTGCCATCGAGAGAGTCAAGCAGGGAGGGGGGTTACAGGAGGTGAAGTGATGATTGCTCTCATTTTATACACAGTGGAGTTGTGGTGGGGGCTGGGAGCGTGCTGTGACAAAGACACCCAGATCACTCATTGTAAACGAGGGGAAAGTAAGATGTTACACCACCGCGCTTCCTTTGCATTTATATTGGAGCCACCTGGGGTTTGTCAAATGAAAATGATTTGCCAGCAAGGAGCCGAAAATCGTGGAAACACTTCAGAATTTTCTGCAGTGTACCCCTCATTTTTGCTGTTTAATTTTGAAAAAAGGACAGCTTTTTAAATAGCCTTGTGGCATATTTAGCTGTTTGCAGATATAGGTTAATCTCCATTGTTGTAGTGTACTTTAGCAGCTGTACTTATGCCAAAATCTATATCCGGAGGATTACTGGACTGATGTGGGAGCCTGTCAGCATTGTCCTTGCTCTCAGCTCTCATTCTCATAAAACGTGGCTAAGCACTGTTTGTTTACATATTGTCTCTGTTTGTGGCTGAAAATGATTTCAAACTGCATGCCTGAAATTAGTCTATAGTCAGATAATGGAGGCTGTTTAGTCTTGGTAAAAATATTGCATGCAGTAGCGTTTATACAGTCACTGTGGTTACTAAACTGACAGTACTCTGATTCTATGAATCTCTGACCAGTTAGGGCTAAATGATAATTAGATAACAAGCCATCAGACCATGGAGATGGCCCACTGAATCCATAAGGTGTCATTTAGTATGGATGGCAGCCGTAACAAGATGCTGATTAACTTAGTGCAAAATTAGTAATTGACCTTTCTAATCAACAAACAAAGCTCTAAGTCCCCCTAATCAATATTGATCACCCCATCTATGACAAAGCTTGAGTGAGTTCCTGACATTACACTGTGGGCAAAGAACCTGTTTATACACCCACATTGTGGGGACTCTGCCATCTCCTGGAAACTGGATGCTGGTCCCCCTACTCCCATGTAAATCGTCAGATTTTAGGAGATTGAAAAAATGTTGAGGAAAAAAAATCAACTGGACTTGGTTTTAGGTCGAAGATGTTTCACCTCTCATCCAAGAGGCTTCATCAGGTCTGCCCGACTGGCGTTGAGTCGGAGACATTTATCCCCATTGGTGGTGTGTTTAAGTGTCAGGCAAATAGTGGGTCGGGTTAAGGGTGGGGATAAGTTGCCAGGAAATTAATGTAAAGTCTCCACAAGGAGTGAAAACAAATGTGTGTTTGTGTGTCTTTGTGTGCAAGAGTGGGACTGTGTATCCTCATCTGTTTATGTTCTAACAAGAATGTACAATCACTGCTGTGTTTTAGTTTTGTTATTTGTTAACATATTTCCTGTGACAAAGCATTTTTAATAAAATAACTTGTAGAACTAAAGTACCCCGCCTCTCGCCCGCAGCCGGCTGGGATTGGCTCCAGCCCCCCGTGACCCCGTTTGGGACTAACCGGTATAGAAAATGGATGGATGGAACTACAGTACATAACAGCACTGTAACAAGCCAGGTCAGCAGAATGAAATTAGGAATTTAAATCGGGTAGTTACGATTATGTTTTAGCTAGTCATGCAAGCAACAGTGTCAGTCTGATGGCTGGCTGGTTGGTCGGTCGGTCGAAATATAGTGTCAGTCTGAAATATAGTGACAACTATTGTATCTTTTCCCTCCTCAGCATGAATTTGCCTCATTTTCCATCTAGCGCCAAGTCAAAATTTTGATTTGCCTCCTATTTTGGTTTATGACCAAATACCTGCACAGCAAACTGACATTTCCATCAGCCTCAGCTGCACTTTGTGTTTAATGCTACTTAGCTACCGTTAGCAGGCTAACAGTAAACTGAAATGGTGAACATGGTAAACATTATTCCTACTACACAGTGGCATGCTACCATTGTCATCATCAACGTCTTTAACATACTAATGCACCTAAACTTGCTGTTTGGCTTTCGGTTGGCCCTGTCACCAACACCATGAATCACAACACTTTTCCTCATCCTTTCCCTTTTATAAAACGAGAGATACATTATAAATTGAGCACCGATGTATGTTTAATAGAGTCTCTAATGTGATGATATCAGTGATACAAATTTCTGTCTGAGTAGTGGGAGGCTGAACTGAGCTGTAATTAATTAGATGCTCACAGAGTTGAGGGTTCTCATGAGGAGAGGCAAACTATCCTTGATCTGTTTTATAGGGGGCTCTTCAAGAGAAGAAGAAAAGGATAAAAAAAAAAAAGATAAAGAGGCATGATGCCTCAAAAATCCAAAGTATTTACTGCAAGCCTTTACAGCTCTTGCCGTACCTGCTCCTAATAAGAGAGTGACAACAACACACTGGCGGTTGTAGGGTCATCTTGATGTAATTGCTTTCCCTTGCCTAATTTTGATGGCTTCCTTTCAATCTAAGTCATCCTTTGCACATCCCCTGATGACCTTGTTTAGGGTGATTTGAAGAGACAGCAAAGTGCAAAATGAATCTTTCCCATTCCAATTAGCATCGTCTTTAACCTAATGACGGACACCTCAAGGTGACGTGGCCCCCACGCCCAGATGCACCATTATCATTCCATACTAGGTGACTCATTTAAATTAACTGCTCCAGCTTTTTCATTAGCCGCCGTGGGCAGGAGAGGCGGTGCCCCTTCACACCAGATACACAGGCAGACAGCAGCTAGTTAACATCCTGATCGCATTCTCCTTACATGCATGATGAAGGTGGATAATTTTCTGTTTAACGCCCATTTGGAAATCAGTCCTCACTCTGCTGCTCTGCCATTTCATATTTGTGTTATGTTCGAGGTTATTTAGAAGCCAAATGAACTCAGTGAGGTGATCACAGCTTTGCAGCTCATAAAAGCTGCAGTGGAGCAGAGAGGCCGATCCTCTTCTTATTTTTACCTAAGAGTAATTACTATACCTGGAGGGAGCTTCTCCGGAGTTTATGATGTTGCTGCAGAAAAGTCCATGCAGTCTCCATAGAGTGACACGAGGGTTTGTCTTTGACACGAAAACCTCAGAAATTATTGCTCTCTCAATGAAGGCCTCCTTCACAAAGAGCCTTCAGCAGAGTCATGACTGTCTATAGCACAGAGTTAAGACACTTGTACAAAACCTGGTTTATTGGATCCCACCCAAACATCTTCAATATGGCATCAAGGAATTACCTCCTTACTGTTATGTAAAGACATCACTAATGTGTTGGTGATGGATTCATTTGTTTGTTTCAATCATATTGAATGGGAATTAAAGAAATTCTGATTCTTTATTGTAACACAAATCAGAGAAGATATGTTTAGTCTCATCTTGCTATCAGCTACATCTCCAAAGTCAAGGGTGAAACAAAAAGGGTGTAATTGAAGAGAGAAAACTGATCTGAGGACAGTTGTGTTCAGAGTATAGTGGTTTCAGTCATTTAGACTTTAGTCCTTTTTAAAACAAAGACAAAAATGTGTATTTTTATAACCCTTTCCAGTGCATGTGATACAGTAATATGTAGTACACATCATTTTGCATTGTCTTATCTCATTAAAAATCCCCTCAGATTTGTCCTGTGGGAATGTCGGCCTCAGTGCCAGTGCTTCACTATTATAAGTAGATAGATGAATTTTGCTCTCTTACCCAAGTTAAAATCTATAGATTTTTTTCATACATGACCACATTCCATATTCACAAGTTCAGGCTAAAGCTGCATTAACTAAGATTTAGCCCAAATTCGGAAAAATCAAATAACAAATTGTCTAGAAGTTTTGTCTTTCTGCTGTATTAACCCCCTAACCCCACCCCATTCTGCTGCATTATGTAGCACACAAAGAGCACAGCAAAGAATGAGGCAAAACCAAGGTTAACATCAGTTTGGTATATGAGAGATGGAGAGCACTAAAAGCATCCAAAGGACTACATTTTTATGCAGATGTGGCTTTCTTCCTGCTAGACTTGAAAGTAGTCAGCAAGCTAACATTAGCATTTCACTTTTGTATCTTTGTATTGATTTTTTCTGATTGTAATTTGGAGTTATTCCAACCTACTGCAGTGTTAATATTTTGTTGTCCAATTAGTGGAAACCTGCACATTTTCTTGGATTAGCAAATGAAGCAGTTTTGCTCAGTTTGCTGATCTTTGCTCAGTTTTGGTCCAGTCCACGTGGTTTATTTATATTGGATATAAGGGTGCAGTCCATGTAGCATTTTAGTGAGATGATGAAGTTTTCCCCATCAACGCAACTAGAAAAGTGGGGAGTTTGTTCAACTATCAAAGCATAATTTTTCTTGTTTCACATAACTCGCAGTTACAGTGGGGCAAATAAGTATTTGATACACCGCCGATTTTTCCAAGTTTTCCCACTTACAAAGAATGGACAGATCTGTAGTTTTCATCGTAGGTACACCTCAACTGTGAGAGACAGAATCTACAAAAAAATTCCAGAAAATCACAGTTAGATTTTTAAAAAATTTATTTCCATTTTATTGCATGAAATAAGTATTTGATACAATAGAAAAATAGAACTTAATATTTGGTACCGAAACCTTTTGTTTACAATTACAGAGGTCAGACGTTTCCTGTAGTTCTTGAACAGGTTTGCACACACTGCAGCAGGGATTTTGGCCCACTCCTCCAAACAGGTCTTCTCCAGATCTTTCAGGTTTTGGAGCTGTCACTGGGCAACACGGAGTTTCAGCTCCCTCCATAGATTTTCTATTGGGTTCAGGTCTGGAGACTGGCTAGGCCACTCCAGGACCTTGAAATGCTTCTTACGGAGCCACTCCTTAGTTG